TGTTCTCCTAAGAGGCTCTCTGTATCAATGGCTATTTTCTCTTTTCAGAGAGACTCTGAAATCAGCTATATGTGTATGCTCCATTTTGTCTTTGATTAGGTTATCTCATGCATTCATTTTTGTTCTGCTTTTTGTTTTTATTTTTGGTTTCAAAACAGGATCTCTCTACGTTGCCTGGCTGTTCTGGAACTCGGTTTGTAGACCAGGCTGGTGTCAAACTTATAGAGATCTGCCTGTCTCTGCCTGCTAAGTGCTGGGATTAAGGCATATGCCACCAATACCCAGACTAACTCATTCCTTTACTGTTTAAAACAAAATTCAGTTTTTGATTCTACTCATTCATTTTAAAATGGGTTCTATTTCATCAACTTCCAATTCTATCATGTTTTCCTTACATTTTTCTTTTCTCTTTAGTTTGACTTTGTATTTAAGCATCACTTGAACTACATCTTACTCATCCAGATGTTTTATTAGCTAGTATGTACTCTCTGTCTTTAATTCCAGAGATTGAAATTTTCTTTTATAGTTGTTAAGCTGAGCGTAGTGGCCCGTGTCTATAATCTCAGCTACTCAGGAAGTTGAGGTAGAACTAGGAACTGGATTGGAGCTTGTCTGGGCATTTAGTAAGATTTTCTCTAGTTTATTTTTTTTTCTTTTTTTTTTTTTTTTTTTTTTTTTTTTAGTTTTTTCGAGACAGGGTTTCTCTGTGTGTCTCTGGCTGTCCTGGAACTCACTCTGTAGACCAGGCTGGCCTCGAACTCAGAAATCCACCTGCCTCTGCCTCCCAAGTGCTGGGATTAAAGGCGTGCACCACCACCGCCTGGCCTCTAGTTTATTTCTAGAAGAAATAAACACATTATTTCTAAGTTAGCAGCACTGCAGTAAAACTGTTGTCTATACAATTGTCCTATAAGTGCTTATAAAAGCAGATGTTTGGCTTTTTCAGGAATTCATGTGGTATTTGGATTCTGTTTTTCTCTTTACATCCTCAGCAGCATTTTTTTTAACGTCACTGAGAGATGAGTGACAATACTTTAAAAAAAAATGCTTTTAATTTTATGTGAATTGGTGTTTCTCTTGCATGTGTGTCTGGGTGTTGGATCTCCTGGAGCTGGAGTTATAGCTGTGAGCTGCCACGTGAGTGCTGGGATTGAACCCGGGTCCTCTGGAAGACCAGCTAGTTGCTCTTAACTGCTGGGCCATCTCTCCAGACCCATGATCAATACATCTAATCCTTTAGGACCTCCTGTAACTTTATGCAAATGTTGAATGTCAGTGCTCAAATATTTCAACTATTGTTAATTGTTTTATCTATATTGTTTTTATTTTTTTTTTAAACTTCAACTCAGACAAGTAAGAGTTTAACTTCTTGGTATATTTTCATGTTTGGTTAACATCTTAACAGTAATTGTTATGTGCAAGATAATGATGCAAGCACTTGACATCTGTTTTTACTTTTTTGTGCTTATTCATTTGCCTTATGAACATCCAATAAATGGCAGCTTGCTGCCTGTTTATTCCAGGCAGCTCTTGAAAACAGAATACTAAGACTTAGGTTACACTGCTACCGGACTCTGACTTTGTCTAAAGGAGTGTATTCCTGTGTCTCTTACTGCCCAACAGTTCAGTCACAAGTAATTTATCAGTAAGGAAATAGGACGATTGACTTATTCTTTCATAAATACCAGATTTAAATGAGTGTGCTCTGTATGTGATTGCCATCTATCTAACTACTAGATTCCAAACATAATTTTAGTGCCTTTCTCCAGAAAGGCAATGACAGGTCAAACTTTAGTGTAAGGAAGTAAGGGTCCCCATGTAGACTGTCAGGTAAGATTGTTAACATCTTGTCCACTTACCAATGTTTTAACCAGCAGGCATCTGACACAAAGGGTACCATATAGGCAGCCTGGGGAGAAAGAAGGGATGGGAGAACAGCTCAAAATCCAGCAGGCAAGAAACACAGGAGCAGGGGAAGCTCTGCTGTTTTTGACCAGTTCTGTTTTGGGAGTATAGCTTGGAGACAGTGGATAGCTTTAATGGTTCTCCTTCATCAATGTCAGATATGGCAATAACTGGGTGGAACTTTCAACAGCCCTGTTCTTACTTTTTTTTTTTTTTTTAATCTACTTTGGCTTGCCCCAACACACATTTTGTGGTTAAGGTTTCACTCGGGAGAGCTATCCTGAAGCAATGAGAACTTTGAACTATCCGTACTATTAACTTGATGCAACAGATTCAAACTGTGGATAGTACAAAGTCAAAGTAGGGCTGCTGGGTGTGGTGGCGCTCATCTCAAGACCATGGAGCACACATTTAAAGGAGTAAGAGGGATGACAGGGCCACCTCTGCGCATACTCAACTTGCATTTTAAAAGTTTAAACTGAAAACAAAACAAAACAAAAAAAAACACTTCAAAAGTACATGAATATAAAAGACAGAGCCAGGCATAAAGGAACACATGGATACACCAGGCATTCAGGAGGCTGAGCCAGGAGGGACGCTGAGGTCGGGGCCAGCAGAGGTTATGTAAGACCAGATTAGGCAGAGCTGACCCTGACTTAAGAAAACAGACAGTAGTTAGCCCCTAAAGGTGCTTGCCTTTCAGCAGCTAACACCCTGACACCATTCTGACCTACCCAACCCAGCCATATGGTCTCAAGTGGAATTATAACCAAGAGGCATGGCTTGCAGATAGGCATTCGGGATACTTCAAGGAAAGACCAAATACACTCACAAATTACTTATCACTATTTTTTTTCTTTTTAAAGAAATAGAAGCCGGGCGGTGGTGGCGCACGCCTTTAATCCCAGCACTTGGGAGGCAGAGGCAGGCGGATTTCTGAGTTCGAGGCCAGCCTGGTCTACCAAGTGAGTTCCAGGACAGCCAGAACTACACAGAGAAACCCTGTCTTGAAAAACCAAAAAAAAAAAAAAAAAAAAGAAATAGAAGTTGCAAAAGAAATTCTTAATCCTTTGCGTCTAGAGTGAAACATGCTACCATCTTAATACTCTTAACCTTTTTAGGATCTTTGGAATATAATTCTTAGTATTTAGTCAATTAGGTTTTTTGTCTTGAATGCCTAGGGTAGTGGTTCTCAATCTCTTTGGGAGTCGAAAGATCTTGACACAGGGGTCACCTGGGAACACTGGAAAACAGATATTTTCCATACATAACAGTAGCAAAATTAGTATAAAGTAGCAATGGAAATCATTTTATGATGGGGGTCATCGCAACACGAGGAACTGTATTGGGGTTGGAGCATGAGGAAGGTGGAGAACCACTGGCCTAGGATGTAGTAAAGCTACCTTTCTCATTGCCATGACACAAGAAACTGGAAGGTTTATTTTGGCATACAGCTCAAAGGGATATACAGCCCATAAACACAGCAAAAGCATAGTGGCAAGGGCATGGGACAGCAGGTCACATTGCATCTAACCAGGACAAGAAGCCAGGGAAGGCATAATATCGACTTAAATCCTAGCACATGGGATACAGAAACATGTAGAACTGTGTGGTGTCAGCCTAGTCTAAATAGCTTATTGTTACACACTGAGATCCGGTCTCAAAGTGGGGCCAAGCTATTCAACTTTAAGACCGGCCCACAATGAGTCCTGTCCTCCAGCAGTGACGCTCCACCTCTTATGGTCAAAGTGCAGCTTAGCATTCTGACAATTATTTGTGCCTTGGCCATTTGTTCAGCTGCACTTGGAGAGCTACAAATTTACAATTTACTCAGCACCAAGTATATTTAACATCTATGAAACTAGAATCAAGCAAGTGATAGATGAGTTTAGCCATGGAGCAAGTGTAGCTTTACCATTTACCAGACGTTTACAGCGATGGCTGCACTATCTACTATGCCTCAGGAATAGACTCCAAAGTGATTTTCCCACTACACTGTACTACTGAATTATATATTTGTTCTAAATCAGAGAACTTGAATGTTCCTTTTTTGCAGGTTTGTTTATATGTGAGGGTGTATATAGAAGTAAAAAAACTGCTGGGTGGTGGTGGCGCACGCCTTTAATCCCAGCACCTGGGAGGCAGAGGCAGGCGGATTTCTGAGTTCCAGGCCAGCCTGGTCTACCGAGTGAGTTCCAGGACAGCCAGGGCTACACACAGAGAAACCCTGTCTCCAAAAACAAAAAACAAACAAACAAACAAACAAAAAACAAACAAACAAACAAAAGTAAAAAAAATTGATCTCAAGTTTCTTCCGATTGCCTCTCCAGACTGAGGCAGGATCTTTTGGCTGAACCTGCAGCTCCCAAAGATACCACCTGTTTTCCCAGTGCTGCAATTACAGACGGGCCATCATTGCTGCCCAGAGTTTACATGGAAGTAATACTCAACTCACTGAGCCAACTCCTAGCCATAGGGATCTTTAAAATTTTTATTAAGAGCATGTTGTATAAATAAACAATATAATTATAGGAATGGCCACACAGCTGTAACCCCAGCATTGAGGAAGCAGAGAAAGGAATACTACTTTCCAAGTTCAAGACCAGCCAGGACTACATAATATACCTTCTCTCTCAAAAACCAGTATATCATCAGTTTTCATTTGTTTTTGTTTTACTGAGGTACTGGAAATTCAACTTGGGTCCCTGCACACTAAGTAAGCATTCTATCAACTACCTTTTTCTTGGTGAAGGGGGGGGGTTTCTTGGCAGAGTTTCTTCAGAGATCTGCCTGCCTCTGCCTTCTGAGTGCTGGGATTAAAAGTATACACCACCACCACTAATCACAGGACTCATATCCCAGAGCCTGTTTACTTTTTACTTTCAGACAGGGTCTCAAACTGCTCTGTAGTGCTCAAAGGCCTTTAACCTTAGCTCTTCTTGATTTAGCCTCACAAGTAGTTGAAATTCAAGGTCTATGAGAGCACATAACCTTCCACATCAAAAGATTACTATTAAAGGATTTTCAATATAATAGCCTTTATAAATTTGCTTAAAACAAACCATTTTAGGAAATTACCAAATCACCTAATAAGATGTATTTCAGAAATGTATTTAATCGAATTTTTTTGCTTACTTTTCTGGTAAGCATTAGTTTACAAAATATACAACAGAAGGAACTTGAAGGTGTATTTTACAATCTATTTATGTTATTGCTTTCCACAATATATAAAGGCAGCCCATTTACAGAATATAGATTTTGCTCTGGTATCCAATAAGCCATTCTCAAAAAACAAATAATTTAAAAATGTTATCTAGCAAAATACAAACATCCCTGATTATTTCAGTTCAAGCTCAGGAAACTAAGCATCTTTATTATTCCTAAACTACAAAATAATTTTTACACACTGAAATTGTGCTTATGTTCAACCTTCCAATACCAATACAACTAGTGAGTATGAGGTCTTTTTTCCATATACTATCTCTGTTACTGTTCAGTGTGCAGCTCCTAGAAAGCCAGAAGGCCAGAAGTCATACACCTTGGACCAGACTTTAATAGAATCACCTAAGACACAGAAACAAGATTCTACTTCATTACTAACATGAATACACAATCATTAAAGAACTGACCATGGCTCTCTAGTCTTCTCCACATTCTTCTGAAATCTGAAAATACAAAAACCACCTGGTTCTAGATATAAACTTTTAACTTCCCTATTTATAAAAATATGTGTATTATACTATGAAAACTACATGGTTGTAGTTTACTATGAATAGTAGTGAGGAGCCAACTTACAAGACTTAGTTATGACTTCAGGGTGGGAGAAAAAAAACACAACTTCTTGAAAAGGTAAAATAGCTCAAAGCATTTAATATCTAAACAATTAGTTTATTCATAGTAGTCACAAAATATGCTTAATATAGAAACCAACATTATGTTTTAAGAAAGTGTAAATTGCATTTTACCTCAAAACATAAATTAACCTGCTTAAGAATCTGCGGCAGTCAAATCATGGTGAATTTTAAACAACTTCAGAATAAAATAACAATAAGTACTTTATACTGCTTTACATCTAAAAAAAAAAAAAGTTTACAGCTTCTCATGAAAATAGTTTGAGGCAACTATTCTTATTCTTTAAGTGATGTTCAATACTATGAGCAACATCCTTAAAACCTTAAGTTGTACATTTTCACACATTCAAATACTGTGGTCCCCTTTCCTTTATGGGATTTAATCAAGTTAGAAGAAAAAAAAAAAAGCATGGTGGACAACTTAATACATTTCTACCAAACTGGTAGTAGTACAAAAATTTTTAAGATTCTACAGAACTACACATCGTACCTAATATATCATTAAAAATAGAAGACAGTATTTTCCTCAGCAAATAAAACAGCACACTGGTATGCTGTCAATGTATACCTTTTAATATGCACTGTCATTCATAAATTATTTACAGCTCTACTTTAATGAAGAGAACTACAATTTAAATTTTCTGCAAAACTGGAAAAAAGCAATATAAAATCTGTGAAAGCCAGTGTTTTATATAAAAGCCAGTTTTTCTCTTCAAATACCAGATACTGGATGCAGTGATAACGTGGAGAAATTACAGTAATTCTTGAGGATGTTTCAGTGCTGGAGGTAAGTTGACGGGTCTGGATTCTTCATCGAGGAGTACCAGATCTTCTATCTCACTGCCTCTGTACTTCCGTTTACAAATCTTTACCACCACCTTCTTCTTGAGAAATAACTTCAGTGCTTCTCTCGATGCAACTGCTTTTGCATTTTCTTTGCTTTTTCCACAGCCAGTGCCCAAATACACTGACTTACACCTCAATTCACAAACAATACTTTCTTGAGAGCTCTTATTTTGAGGCAGATCTGCTAGTTCTTTCAGTGGGACAAAAAACACATCGAGTGTTGCTTTCAGAGCCTCAATAGCTGCATTCAGCAGCTCTCCATGATTCACACTGGGGCTAAAGCCACCGACTGCTACTAACTTCCATGCCACCGTTTTATACAGTCTATTGAAGAAAGGTTGCTTCTGTTTTATATCTTCATTGGTTAACTTTCGACAAGCGAATTTGACAGAACTCTCACTGGACTGTGAGGTACTTTTAGAAGGCAACTGTGAAGTGCTACTCTGAGAACTACTCTTAGAAGCTAGCTGAGACATGCTTCCTAAGGAAGTGCTTTTGGAAGCCACAGATCCACTGCTCTGGGAGCTGCTTTTGGAAGCTAACAGTGATGCAGCTACTTGAGAAGTGCTTTTGGATGTCAGCAGTGATGTATTTGTTGAACTGCTCTTGGGAGTTAGTAAAGAGGTGCCCGATGAGGAACTGTTTTTAGAAACTGATGATGAAATGTTTGCCTCTGAACTAGTTTTGGATGTTAACCCACTTGAAGCTGTCTCTGAACTAGACTTACAAGACAGTAATGGCAACTCTACTTCTGAGCTTCCAGAGGAACCCAACAAGGGCACCTCAATCTCTGAGCTGCTCTGAGAAGCTGAGACTGAAGAACCTTCCAAAGCACTCTTTTTAGGTGATCCACTTTGCTGTCTGGAATCAGTGGATTGGGTCATATGACTATTCATACTGGATTTCAACAGTGAAGAAACAAATGATGCTGAACCATGTTTATCTGGAGCTTCTGGGTCAGAAGCTTTTCCAGATCCTGCTGTTGTTACCTGAGAGGGATTGCTGCTGCTTTGGCTGCAAACAGATCTATCTCCATCACTTGTGGAACTATTCTGATGGGAGACACTGGAGCTGCTCCGACCTGAGGTCCCACTACCCTCTGATTTGGTGGACGACCCCCTGGACACAGAACTGTTTTCTTGCTGAGCTGCTGAACGATCTGTTTTGGAAGATTTTTTCCCATGATCTCGCTCAACTGAAGAATTGTTTTTTCCTTCTGTGGCTCGTTTTTTGGATGGCTCTTCTACCCCTTCTAGAAAGAAGAAAAAAAACAGGTATTTTACTAGGAGTCCTACAGACAAATGTCAACAAAACATTCATTTAAAAAGCACAGAGAGCGGGGTGGCAGCACAAGCCTTTTCTCCCAGCACTCAGGTATGACCCCTGAGTTTGAGGCCAGCCTGGTTGGTCTACAGAGCAAGTTTCAGGATAGGCTGGGCTATACAGAGAAATCCTGACAAAACAAAATCAAACTAACAAACAAAAGCACAAAAAATTTTTTCAGAACCAGTAGTTCCTTTTAAAGTATGAAACAACTTCATTAATATGTTAAAACAGTATCAATTAATATGATTAATTTCTAATATTAAATTGACAGCATCAGACATTAGACTCGAAAATCTAAAACAGTTAAATTATCAATTTCAGCACCTAAAACAGACAGACAGACAGACAGACACACAGACACACACACCGAGTTTAGCTTTAACATTTCAACTAGATTAATACAATATACACATTCTGGATTGTTAAAAGAAATTAGTAATGACAGTAATTCCTAATTTTATCAAGCTTATTTTCTAAACTCCTATGTATGTTCACATCTATGATCTGCTAACCATTGCTACTCGATATCCCTCTTTTCTTCACCTTGGCAACCAGTTCGTCTCGTGTGGTATGGATTGGAGCATCTGTCACTTTGATGCCTTCAGCCATACTAAGAATTTTATCCATAACTTTTTGAGGGTACCTGAAAAAGAAGCAAAAGTCTCTCTCAAGAAGTGGGTTTTTTTTTTCCTTTCTTGAAAATACCGGCAGGAATGCAGGTCCGTGAAGACTGCATTTCCTGGTGGCGATCAAAGTGTACGAACCGCGCGACAACTTTTGTTTCCTGAAATGCCACAGACAAATGCCCCAGGGCCCGGGAGGCGGGTCTGTGCCAGGGAACCTTTAAACTCAGGGTCTCCCGGGCCGAGTACCGTCAGCTAAGCGCCAAACAACTCCATCTGCCGGGCGCACACCACCGGGACACCCGCCATCAGTGAGGTCGGGGCTGCCACCGACGCCCTTCTGGCCCTCCGAGGACCGACAGTGCCACGGATTCCCGCGCTTCCCAAGCCGCCCTCCCCAGCGACGCTGGTCCCCGCGAGCTCTCCTCGCCCAGCGGCAGGGGGCGCGGAGCAAGCCCGGAAGGCTGGATAGCGACGCTCCCTCCTCACTCACCGGCACCCCAGGAAGACATGGTTTGCCCAAGCCATGGAGTAGGAGACGAGCTGCTGGATCTGCCGGCCGCGGGTTCCGCTCTCCGCGTCCGCAGTCTCCTCGGTCGCGGGGACCAGGTCCCCGGCATTGCGAAGCAGAAATTCCCGGCGGTGGCGCCAGTGTTTGTCCGTCTCGCCCTCGCAGCGAAGCGTCTCCACCCAGGCGGCTACTCGCGGGTTTTGGCTCAGGTACTCGGCCACCTCCTGCGCCATGTTGGGAACCTGCGGGACGAGGAGAGCACGAGCGCACAGCGCCTAGAGCGAAGCGACGAGCGGCCCTGTCAGCGCGGCCTGCACCGGCGGCCCTCCCGAGAACGCCCCTCCAGAAGCCGAAACACCAAACAACAGAACAAGGCGCCGACGAACCGCCCACTTCCGCCTGCCGCCGCCTTGCTCCCTTTTATAACCTCGCCGCCGCGCGGGCGCGCGCTCGCGCGACCTTCCGGCGCGAGCGCGTTCTCCCAGGATGCTTTGCAGCGCCCAGCCGCCGGCGACTCAGCGGTTGCGCCCACCTCGGTCGGAGGGCGCGCCCCGGCTGAGGCGGGGCCGAGGCGACTGAGGGACGGGCGAGCCTCCCGCCCTGAGAGGGCGCGCGGAGCCAGTGCGGCAGCGTCAGCGTTCCGCCGGCGCTTTGTGACGCCGCGCTCTGTTTCCGCCCCGGGGCTGGGGACGGCGGGCGGAGCGCGGGGGATCCGGCGTCGTCCGAGTCGCCGCTCCGCCTGCGCGTCTCCGCCCTCGGACGCTCGCTGTCGCACGCGGCCAAAATAAACAAAAGCTTGGCGTCCGTGCCTCCGCCCTACCCTAAGATCTGCTGTGTGCGGTGGAAAGTAAATCCAGTGTCCCGAGGCCGGGAAGGCCTCCGGGCGTTTGGGGACCTGGGGATGCCTTGTGGGATGGGGACAATAAAAGTACCAAGCATCTGTGGAACTTAAACGACAAGCACAAGCGACTCCTCCGGTTGGCTCTGGCCGGCTTCACGCGCTTTTTGAAGCCAGGCCTTTGCGCCTGCGCCCCACGATCTGGCTTGGTTTCCGCGGTTTCTTAGGTTCCTGGTTCAACCCAGACAATACCCTCTTCCTCTCCCTTAACGTTTATGCTCCCCAAGCTATAAACATCCCTGTGTCAACTAGTTGTAGCTGTTAACGCCGGTTGGACCAAAGTGGAAATGTATCTGCTTATCTCGTCCGCCCAGCCTCTCCCCCAAAGAGCAACTGTGCTTTTGCATTTTTTTAAATTTATGTGTTCGATGCTATTGCTTGCATGTTTGTCTGAGCTACGTGTGTGTGTGTGCCTGATGCCCTTGGAGGCAAGAAGGCAATCGATCTCCTGGAGTTGACGCTGGATTTTGAACGTCTTGTGTGGGTGCTGGGAATTGAACCCAGATCTTGAAGATCTGCCGGTACTGCTGAGCCAACTCTCCAACTCATGAATTTTTTTTTAACATTTCCAAGTCCAAGTATATGTCTAATATTAGTGAAATCAAAGCATGAGTGTAATAATATGAGATAGTGATAAATTATGTAATTGATTTTCCTTCAATAGATGTTTGCGTTTCTGTTAGGAAAATGCTTAAATCAGAATAATCACGCAAAAATTAAGTCATTTGGTTACTAAACTTTGACAGCCATTAGCCTGTGCCCCAATACTATTCAGCGTCAATAAGCCAATTAAAAGAGCCAAATTAGTAGCGGGAAGCAGAAAAAGACTTTCAAAGAGGCCACGCTGGCAAAGAGAGACAAAGCAGGCTTTAATCCCAACACCCTGGAGCAGAAGCAGGGGGATCTCTGTGAGTTGAGACTTGTCTGGTGTACAGAGCTAGTTCCAGGACTACACAAACCATTTCTCGAACCCTGCAATCTCCCCCCAGCCGAGAGACAGAGACAGAGAGAGACAGAGAAACAGAGACTGACTGACTCACTGACATCCACCCTACCCCAATTGAGCCTTTGGAGTCCTGAAATGACAATCACGGTTAAATAAAAGGATAAGGATGTGGACATTTAAGATAGGCGACAACAAACAGCGGCCCGCCCACTATTGTCCCGGCCGGAGTCTCCCCGGGGGATGGTGGATAAACGGTGGTTAGACCTTGAAATCTTTCTCTGGAAAACAAAGTCCTCCATTAGCTGAAACCTTTTACTTCTAAGATTTTGGGGGGAAAGTCTCATTTCTCAGGGGTCTAATAATAGAGTAAGAAGCAAGAGCCTCTTTAAAATACCTTCATTTCAGCCCAGCTTGTTGCTCCAAGCCTTTAATCCCAGCAGATCTGTGAGTTTGAGGCCAGCCTTGTTAACAGAGTGAACAGGAACAGCCAGGGCTGCACAGAGAAAGCGTGTCTCAAAAAACTAAAAAAAGGGGGGTTGGAGAGATGGCTCAGCGGTTAAGAGCACTGACTGCTCTTCCAGAAGTCCTGAGTTCAATTCCCAGCAACCACATGATGGCTCACAACCATCTGTAATGAGATCTGATGCCCTCTTCTGGTGTGTCTGAAGACAGCTACAGTGTCTATACATAAAATAAATAAATAAATTAAAAAAAAAACCCACTCAACTCAGGTATTATATTAAAAAAAAACTAAAAAAAAAAGTCTTTTCCTACAAGGCCAGTTACAATGTTAGATAACATCGGATAAGCAAAAATGCCATTTAAAAATTTATATACATGCTGGAGCACTAAGACCCAGCTTCTTCAGGAAAACAATATTGCCTTCCTTGCCATACCAGAAATGACAACAGAAGCCAGGTGGTGGTGGCGCACGCCTTTAATCCCAGCACTTGGGAGGCAGAGGCACGTGGATTTCTCAGTTCGAGGCCAGCCTGGTCTACAGAGTGAGTTCCAGGACAGCCAGAGCTACACAGAGAAACCCTGCCTCGAAAAAACAAAAAAAAAAAAAAAAAAAAAAAAAAAAAAGAAAGAAAGAAAGAAAGAAATGACAACAGGCCAAAAATAAGTTTTTTTTGAAGCTTCATTTTTGCTATCCTATTCTTTTTATAGTTAAATCCTGAAATCTAAAGACTATAGAAACATTTGGCAAGGGGTTCAGAAAAAAATATGATTGCATAGCTAGATAACATTGGTAAATTGTTGTTTATCTGTGTAACAGAGCCCTGGCTGTCCTGGATTTGCTTTGTAGACCAGGCTGATCTCCAACTCACAGAGATCTACCTGCTTCTGCCTCTCCAAGTGTTGGGATTAAAGGCATGTGCCACCATGTCTGATGATATTGGTAAATTTTTAAAACAAGATCTTTTTCTCATGCTCCCCCGTGTCCTTCTGACTAGCTTCAAGGCTGTGGCAGAAAATCAAATAGAACTTGACGGATAATGATGGAAGGGAGTATCTCAGCGGGCCAATGCCGAGGCATCTCTTCCCCCTGAGGGACCAGCCACACACCCGTATAGCAGAGAATAGAGTTCATTCAGGGCATGGGGAGGGGAGCCAGGAGGGTAGTAGAGGCAGAGGGAGGGGGAGGGGAAAGGCGACAGAGAGGAGTAGAGACTGGCCATGACCACGTTAGAGAGAGGAGGAAGGGAAGGGGGAAGGGGGGAGGGGGGAGGGGGGAGGGGACAAAGAGAAGCTACAGGGAAGAGATCAAAGGATTAAGAGAGAGAGGAGGGTAAGAGAGAGAGGAGGGGGCAAGCAGCCCCTTTTACAGTGGTCAGGCCTACCTGGCTGTTGCCAGATAACTGTGGAGGTGGAGTTTAGACAGAATACTAACAGAACTAACATTTCTTGTCCTTTTCTCTCCCCTCTTTTCTTCCTTCCTCCCCCCCTTTCTTTCTCTTTTTCTCTTTCTCTCTTTCTTGACAGGGTTTCTCTGTGTAGCCCTGGCTGTCCTAGAATTCACTTTGTAGACCAGGCTAGCATCAAACTATAGATCAGCCTGCCTCTGCCTCCCTAGTGCTGGGATAAAAGGCCTGCGTGAGACATCATGACTGGCTACAACTAACCTTTCAACAGCAAAGTTTTTTTCTCTTTGAAGACATAGTCTTGCTGTCATTTTAATGGCCTGAAACTGGTGATCTTTCTCAGAGTACAGGCATGCGCCTACTCAGTTGGATTCACAGTTATAACAAAAGCAAAAATAGTCTGAAAATGACTATTGATTTGCAAAAGTTGGGTTCTTGATAGGAAATGTATATGTATTTGGTTTTAGATTCTTAAAAAGTTCAATGAGACCAGCGGGATGGCTCAGTCCTCCCAGTTCCATCTTTGACCTCCACATGCACCACATTGTACCTGTGTACCTTCCTACAACTACACATGCACACTACATAATGGGTTTTCATTCAATATAGTCTGATTACAGTTCCCCCGTGATGTAATTTTTTTTAAAAAAAATATAAAGATTCAAGGTATTGGCCATGAACCACAAAGTTGAGAATTACATTCAAGAGAAAAGAAAACTCAGGATAGTATTTTGATTTAAGTGTGAAATGTTCCCCCTTCAGCCCTTATGTCTGAACACTTGGTCCCCAACTGGTAACACTATTTGGAGAGGTTGTGGACCCTTTAAAAGGAGGTGAGACCTGGGGGAATCACTGGGCATTGGACCGTGAGAATTATAGCCAGACTAGACATCCAGTTGGCCTCCCTGCTTCCTGTTTTGCTAGGAGTTAAGCAGTCCTGGCTGTACAGTCGTGTCTCCATAGAGCTGCCTGCTGCCATGTTTTCCCCACTGTGATGGACTGTATCCCTTGACTATGAGCCAGTGTATATCTGTTAAGATGTGTTCTCTCCATACTGTCGTCACAGTGTGGAGAAATGAGCACAGAAGAGAGTCCTTATGCCATGACATATCACAGTACTTTCTTTTCTCTCCCAACATATACTCATTGCACAGACATATATAGCCATATAAAGAAAGCAAGAGACTCTGTGTGTGTGCACATGCGAGTGCTCTCCTGCAAGTATCTTAGGGCCTAGAGAGAGTCTTGAAACTTTTCCAATAGCTAATTGAACTAGTTAAATGGTGAGGTGCCAGCCCAATGGTGAATACAGGCTACAAAATCCAAGGTGATTCACGGCTGGGTTAGTAGCCCAAGTCAGCAAAGAGAATGCTCAATAATACACCTGGATGCTGAGATCCATGAAGAGCCAAGACATCAAGGACGAGCCCTCAACTTGTCCTGACATGAACAGAGATCGTCCTAAATAGACTGGTGGCCAGATAGTGTCACTGTCAGCAGAGGACAGACACAGGCTTAGTATATCCAAGCCTGTCTCCACTAGGAACCTGATCACAGCTAACAGGGGGAAACCTTCAAAGAAATATTCATGGCCACTCCCCCTAGTGACTGAGTTCAAGCACTCCTCTTTGTTTGAGGAGATTAGGCTTTCTGCTATCAGAGGAAGAGTGTCCATTGTAACTGCTGTTGGATTCTGTCTCTGATGGAATCTGTTAACAATTCCAGCATTTAGCCAGGTTTTTTGTAGATGGCATTCCACAAAACAGCCTAAAGGGAGGCACGGAGATATGAAGACCCACATGTAGACTGCAGAACAGATATTCCAGCCAGTGTCATGGCTTAGTTGGAAAGACATCTCACAATGAGGGAGAATTTTTGAC